AAGCCATGAAGTACAAGAAATTGGTGATGTATATTCCAACAAAAGATTCCTCCAGAAAGCATAAAGAGCTATTACAATCAGTAAGAGAAAGACAACCAATGTATTTATTTAGAAATGGACAGGAGATTTGAATAGGCACTTTCCAAATAACCAGATGGCTCATGGGCATTCTGATAGCAAATTTGTAGGAGAATATAAATTAAAAGGCAAGGTATCATAGATTGTCTTGAAGTTGCCTGGTTCTGGCCAGTAGAATCATCTACTTTGCAAGAACTCTGCCCTGCAGGTGAAGTTTGGGTGTGGGAAACAGTGAGTACTAGTCTCACTAATGACACCCAGTTGGTAAATTTTTAGGAATTGTGAGCTGGTTGTTAAACACAACTGCTATTTAAAAATTGGATTATAAAGCCAGGCACGGTGACTCACAACTGTAATCCCAGCACTCTGGGAGACCAACGTGGGTGAAATGCTCAGTTCAGGAGTTTGAGACCAGCCTGAGCAAAAGCGAGACTCCATTGCTACTAAAAATATAAAAAAACTAGCCAGGTATGGTGGCACATACCTTAGTCCCACCTACTCAGGAGGCTGAAGCAAGAGAATCTCTTGAGCCCACAAGTTTGAGGTTGCTGTGAGCTATGATGATGCCATGGCACACTACTCGGGGCAACAGAGTGAGACTGTCTCCAAAAATAAGAAGTTGAGGCTGAGTGTGGTGGCTCATGCCTGTAATCCCAGCACTCTGGGTGACAGAGCAGATGGATTGCCTGAGCCCATAGGGTGAGATCAGCCTGAGGAAGACTGAGAGAGACCCCATCTCTGGGGGGGTCTGATGGGGCCAAGGGTGCTCTGTATGCCCTCCTTGTGTCCCATTGGAAATGGCTGTGAGAGGATACCATCGACACTGACAAACCCCACAAGATGATCTCTGCTGAATGAACACACTGATTTCTGGTGTGGGTCCCCACTTTCCCCACCCTTGCAGGTGTGTCTCCTTCCTGCCATCCTAGGAAGAAGATACTGTTGTCTTCTCCTTGTTGGCCTCTTAGGGGTTCCTTGGGAGCCACTCC